AAGTTAAAATGGTATAATTTTCAACAAAGTTTGTCTTGTTGTCAAAGTTTGTCTTGAAATTGTCCAACAAGTCATTGGGAAAAAATTATGTTAATTATAATTTAATATTAAATAAATAGCACTATATGAAAATAAGTGTCTGACAATGAAGATAAATCTCTCTCTTGCTATTTATGTACTATTAAGAGATTTTTTTTTTTTTTGCTATGTCACACCATAGGACAAATGTATGGTTCAGTAAAAACGTAAAAAAAAAAAAAACAGTGAAAGAATTGACTTCACACTACATAAATATGTGCATTTCTTTTTCAAAAAAGTTTTTTTTACTGCCTATTTGTCAACTACCTATATATATATATATATATATATATATACACAGTCGTGGTCAGAATTATTGGCACTCTTCGTAAATATGAACAAAGAAGGCTGTGATAATAAATCTGCATTGTTAATCATTTGGACACTTTTATTTTAAAAATTCACATAAATCTAACCTTTCATTGGAGAATAAGAATTTAAAATGGGGAGAAATATCATTGTGACATAAATGTTTTTCTCTAATACACATCGGACACAATTAACGGCACCCTTTTATTCAATGCTTTTTGAAACCTCCATTTGGCATAATAACAGCTCTGAGTTTTCTCCTATAATGCCTGATGAGGTTAGAGAACACCTGACAAGAGATCAGAGACCATTCCTTCATCCAGAATCTCTCCAGACCCTCCAGATTCACAGCTCTATGATGGTGCTTCTCCTCTTCAGTTCACCACACTCATTTTCTATAGGGTTCAGGTCAGGGAACTGGAATGGCCATCAGAAGCTTGGTTTTGTGTCCAGTGACCCATTTTTGGATTATTGTCCGGTTGGAAGATACAAACATAGCCCATTATATGATTTCTAACAGAGTCAGTCAATTTTAGATTTTTTATCTGTTGGTATTTGATAGAATCAAAGACGCCATGTATCTAAACAAGATGTCCAGGACCTCCAGCAGAAATATAGGCCTGAATATGCGTTCTATGTGAATGGCTTGGTTTCGGTTTTAACCTAATCAAGATCTTCTCCGCATTGAGCTTCTATATTTCTCTAATATTTTGAATGAATAACTCAGCAGCAGCGCGTCTCATGGACAAGACTAACAAAACATTAAATGCAACGTCACTTACATCATTATCACCGCATCTTGTGCGCCACTGATGACGCTCCCTGATGCACACCTAACATTCAAATGCAAATGTTTATTTTAAATTCGACTAATATTCATTCTTTATTCACAATCTCCTCATCACAGGCAGGCAGAGCACTCAATTCAGCATGTGTTCGTGTGTACTGTCTGCGTCACTCATAGCACGTGCCTATATCGTGCACTATATCGAACATTTTTTATATCGTTATCGAAGAAGGTGTACCGTCGATAAATATCGATGCCGTTTTATCGCCCAGGCCTACTCTATACGTTAAAATAAACCTACTATAAAAAATTACAGACCCTTCATTTCTTTGTAAGTGGGCAAACTTACAAAATCAACAGGGGATCAAATAAATATTTTCCCCACTGTATTTACTGTATATACACATACAGTTGTGCTCAAAATTATTCATACCCTTGATAAATATGATCAAAGAAGGCTGTGAAAATAAATGTGCATTGTTTATCCACTTGAACTTACATTAAAAAAGAAAATTAAAAAATCTAACCTTTAATTAAAGTAAAAAAAAAAATAAAAAAAAAGTGATAATGGGGGAAAATCACATTATGAAATAAATATTTTTCTCCAATAAAGTAAGAGGACGTGTGTCTATATCATCCTAATGCACGGTGAGGAGGAGAGTTTGAGTGGCCAAAGACTCTAAGGATCACAGCTGGGGTCAGAAAGCCTAAAAAAAAAAACAAAAAAAAAAACAATGTTGTTTGGGAGGGTTTCAAGAAAAAACTAGAAAAGAAAACGCTCTCATCCAAAAAAAATAAACTCCAGCATATGTATTTGCTAGACACGACTGGTACTTTAAACGGGACTGGGTTCAATGGTCAGATGAAACTAAAAAAAATTTGCTTTTTAGCAGCAAACACTCAAGATGGGTTTGGTGCACACAGGGATAAAAAAGTTTAAAGATAAAAAATTTAAAACTGACTGTCCATGCTAGAAATCTTATAATGGGCCATGGTTGGATCTTCCAACAGGACAATGATCCACAAACAAACATCAAAATCAAAACAAAAATGGGTCACTGAGAACAAAACCAAACTTCTGCCCTGGCCAACCCAGTTCCCTGAGCTGAACCCTATAGAAAATGAGTGTGGTGAACTGAAGAGGAGAAGCATCAACATGCAGCTGGAAATCTAAAGGGTCTGAGAGATTCTGTATGAAGGAATGGTCTCTGATCTCCTGTCAGATGTTCTCTAAGGCCCTGTCCACACGAACGCGGTTATTTTTAAAACCGCAGCTTTTTTCTACGTGGTTTGGCCGTTCGTCCACATGCAAACACAGCACTAGGTCACTGAAACTGAACATTTTTTAAAGGGGTCATATGATGCGATTTCAATTTTTCCTTTCTCTTTGGAGTGTTACAAGCTCTTGGTGCATAAAGAAGATCTGTAAAGTTGCAAAGACTAAAGTCTCAAATCCAGAGATATTCTTTATAAAAGTTCAGAGTTAGCCACACCTACCTAAGGCATAGAGGAGAAACAATAATGTACAGTATGTTGAAAATAATGTGTTTTTTGAACTTTAAACCGCATAAACACATTTCATTACACCAAATACACAAAATAATGTTCTTTTTAGCAGCATCATATGACCCCTTTAAAACACCTGCCAGGGTGAAGATGTTCAAAAACTCTGGTTGCAGTGTTATCGCACGATGACGTAGCTGGATCAGATCCAATACGTATTGGATGTTTGACGAGCATGCGCAGTATTGGATTTTAATGCGCATGCGCAAAGTGGGGCTGTCATTGAAGCTGGTATTTAATGTAAATTAAACTGTAATTATTACGAGATATAGGCCTAGGTGTGTTTCATAGGCTTACACAAATTATATTATACTGTGATTTTAAACTAGTAGTGTATTCAAACTTTATTTAAGCAACGATGGCATAGTTTTGAATGAAAGAGTTTGGTATGTAAGCTATGTTTATTTTTTATTAGTTTGATTCGTTTTATAAATTAAACTCTACTAATTACAATTTAGTTTGTTCTTTATGAAAAAAATGGGGTATAACTATTGTCTTTATTTTTTCCTCTGATAGTCTAGTCAAGATAGTTAGATAGTTCTGTCAAAAATTCGTTCATGAATCAAATATTGTTTTTCGTTCTCACTCTCTGTGCTATATGTATAAAAGTTATAGGCCTACTAAAATATGCGGACATAATTTTTTATACCAAATAAAAATAAAAAGAAGAAAAACAATCCTGTCATTCGGGGTTCTGTATAGCCGATAGACCGTTATCCTGGGTTATACCGGGTTTTTACAGTTAATCCCATGTCCAGCAAATAAATACACACACGGTTGGAGACAATGCATATAGTATGAAAAGCAACTAATGAAACATTTCTTTGACCTGACTGAGGCATTATTAGCGAGGTAAAGACTTAATATAAATTTAATGGTTGTTGTTTTTATTTTGTTTATTATTGAAAATGTTTGTAATAGCTATATTAGAATAATATAAAATCTAAATAAACAAAATGGATCGGCGTTAATCTAATATCCCCAATTAAATTTAAATAAACATGATGGATACAATCAAAAAGACATTTAGGCTAACTCTGATAAAGTGATGTATATCTTAATAATTAGCTATTTACAGTGCAACGTCTGCATATCAATCATGTTACAGTGCTTGTTGCATCCTTATAACAATGGATACAGCACTGATGTGCATCCTGGCGATAACATATGAAATGCAGGCTATTCAAAAAATAAATAAATAAATAAATAAAGCTTTGAAGTTGCCGGTATAGACGAAAACATCGCGGATGAATTTAGACATTAAAGTTTTTACATTGTAATGTAATGTAGGTCATCGTGTAGGTATCTAATGTAGGTCAAAAACCCTTGCTACATGTACTGCGTTAGACTTCACTTAGACCAAGTCGTTAGACTAAGTCGCTGTGGATAAAAGCGTCTGCAAAATGATAAAATGTAAATAAAAATATGAATTTATTCGAAACCTACTACAGTGCATGCGCGTAAAATGCAAAATGATAAAATGTGAATAAAAATATGAATTTATTCGAGACCTACTACAGCTCATGCGCGTAAATATCCACTACGTAGTGGATATAGTCCAGCTACGTCATCGTGCTGCAAGCTGCAGCGAGGACAGACTCCATCTTTTGGAAAATTGAGTTTTAAAAATAAAAAATTATCACTTTTACCAGTAGACCAGTGATACCAGAGCTCCACTATTTGCTATTTGACTAACTGAAAGATATCTTTTCACAAGTTTTTTTTTTTCAGTTGGATTCATATCTGCATATTCTGAAATCACAATTATAATAAAAATTATTTTTTGTCAAAGTTTAGCATTTTTTATACTGAAAAAAATCAGTGTTTCAATAATGTTACAGTATGATTAGAATCAAATATAATGTACATTAGTGTTTCTCCTCGATGCCCCGCCTTTCTGAAACGCGTAAATTTTTACAAAGCTCATCGGTCTAAAAAAGCGAGGTATGCTGTGATTGGCCAGCTATCCAGTTCGTTGTGATTGGTCAAATACCTCAAGCGTGTGACGGAAATGTTACGCCCCTCACCATACTGTGATGATGCCCTGTCAGGTGGGAGCAATGATTCAAAAACATGAAAACCCATTATAAACGAGGCATTCCTTGCATCCAGTGGGGACATAATTACGGATTATAATGACTTATACTGTCTTTTTACGCGTTGCATTGCATCGCG